CAGTATGATGGTACTACTACAGTGTGATAGTACTACTACAGTGTGATGGTACTACTACAGTGATGATGATGGTACTACTACAGTATGATGGTACTACTACAGTGATGATAATGGTACTACTACAGTATGATGGTACTACTACAGTGATGATGATGGTACTACTACAGTGTGATGGTACTACTACAGTGATGATGATGGTACTACTACAGTATGATGGTACTACTACAGTGATGATGATGGTACTACTACAGTGTGATGGTACTACTACAGTGTGATGATGATGGTACTACTACTGTGATGATGATGGTACTACTACAGTGTGATGGTACTACTACAGTGTGATGATGATGGTACTGTGTGATGATGATGGTACTACTACAGTGTGATGATGATGGTACTGTGTGATGATGATGGTACTACTACAGTGTGATGGTACTACTACAGTGATGATGATGGTACTACTACAGTGATGATGATGGTACTACTACAGTGATGATGATGGTACTACTACAGTGATGGTACTACTACAGTGTGATGGTACTACTACAGTGTGATAGTACTACTACAGTGTGATGGTACTACTACAGTGATGATGATGGTACTACTGTGATGATGGTACTACAGTCATGATGATGGTACTACTGTGATGATGGTACTACTACAGTGATGATGATGGTACTACTACAGTGATGATGATGGTACTACTACAGTGATGATGATGGTACTACTACAGTGATGGTACTACTACAGTGTGATGGTACTACTACAGTGTGATAGTACTACTACAGTGTGATGGTACTACTACAGTGATGATGATGGTACTACTACAGTGATGATGGTACTACTGTGATGATGGTACTACAGTGATGATGATGGTACTACTACAGTGTGATGATGGTACTACTGTGATGATGATGGTACTACTACAGTGTGATGGTACTACTACAGTGATGGTACTACTACAGTATGATGGTACTACTACAGTGTGATGATGATGGTACTACTGTGATGATGGTACTACAGTCATGATGATGGTACTACTACAGTGATGATGATGGTACTACTGTGATGATGGTACTACTACAGTGATGATGATGGTACTACTACAGTGATGGTACTACTACAGTGATGATGATGGTACTACTACAGTGTGATGATGATGGTACTACTACAGTGATGGTACTACTACAGTGATGGTACTACTACAGTGTGATGGTACTACTACAGTGATGATGATGGTACTACTACAGTGATGGTACTACTACAGTGATGGTACTACTACAGTGATGATGATGGTACTACTACAGTGTGATGGTACTACTACAGTGTGATAGTACTACTACAGTGTGATGGTACTACTACAGTGTGATGGTACTACTACAGTGATGATGATGGTACTACTACAGTGATGATGATGGTACTACTACAGTGATGGTACTTCTACAGTGATGGTACTACTACAGTGTGATGGTACTACTACAGTGATGGTACTACTACAGTGATGATGATGGTACTACTACAGTGATGGTACTACTACAGTGATGATGATGGTACTACTACAGTGATGGTACTACTACATTGATGATGATGGTACTACTACAGTGATGGTACTACTACAGTGATGGTACTACTACAGTGTGATGGTACTACTACAGTGATAGTACTACTACAGTGTGATGATACTACTACAGTGATGATGATGGTACTACTACAGTGATGATGATGGTACTACTACAGTGATGATGATGGTACTACTACAGTGATGGTACTACTACAGTGATGATGATGGTACTACTACAGTGTGATGGTACTACTACAGTGATGATGATGGTACTACTACAGTGTGATGGTACTACTACAGTGATGATGATGGTACTACTACAGTGATGATGATGGTACTACTGTGATGATGGTACTACTACAGTGATGATGATGGTACTACTACAGTGATGATGATGGTACTACTGTGATGATGGTACTACAGTCATGATGATGGTACTACTGTGATGATGGTACTACTACAGTGATGATGATGGTACTACTGTGATGATGGTACTACTACAGTGATGATGATGGTACTACTGTGATGATGGTACTACTACAGTGATAGTACTACTACAGTGTGATGGTACTACTACAGTGATGATGGTACTACTACAGTGATGGTACTACTACAGTGATGATGATGGTACTACTACAGTGATGGTACTTACTAACAGTGGAATCGGTACTACTACAGTGGATGCATGATGGTACTACTACAGTGATGATGGTACTACTACAGTGATGATGATGGTACTACTACAGTGATGGTACTACTACAAGTGATGATGATGGTACTAACTACTGTGATGGTACTAACTACATGTGATGGTTACTACTACAGTGGTGATGGTACTACTACAGCTGAGTGGTACTACTTACAGTGATGATGAGTGTACTACTAAGCTGATGATGATGGTACTACTACAGTGAGGGTACTACTACAGTGATGATGGTACTACTACAGTGATGGTACTACTACAGTATGATGTGGTACTACTACAGTGATGGTATACTACAGTGATGGTACTACTACATGTGATGGTACTCTACAGTATGGTACTCCTACAGTGATGGGTCTACTACAGTGTGAGTTGGTCTACTACAGTGATGGTACTACTACAGTGATGGTACTACTACAGTGTGATGGTACTACTACAGTGATGGTACTACTACAGTGATGATGATGGTACTACTACAGTGATGATGGTACTACTACAGTGATGATGATGGTACTACTACAGTGATGGTACTACTACAGTGATGGTACTACTACAGTGTGATGGTACTACTACAGTGATGGTACTACTACAGTGTGATGGTACTACTACAGTGATGATGATGGTACTACTACAGTGATGATGGTACTACTACAGTGTGATGATGATGGTACTGTGTGATGATGATGGTACTACTACAGTGTGATGGTACTACTACAGTGATGATGATGGTACTACTACAGTGTGATGGTACTACTACAGTGATGATGATGGTACTACTACAGTGTGATGGTACTACTACAGTGATGGTACTACTACAGTGTGATGGTACTACTACAGTGTGATGGTACTACTACAGTGTGATGATAGTACTACTACTGTGATGATGGTACTACTACAGTGTGATGGTACTACTACAGTGTGATGGCACTACTACAGTGTGATGGTACTACTACAGTGATGGTACTACTACAGTGTGATGATGATGGTACTGTGTGATAATGATGGTACTACTACAGTGTGATGATGATGGTACTACTACTGTGATGATGGTACTACTACAGTGTGATGATGATGGTACTGTGTGATAATGATGGTACTACTACAGTGTGATGATGATGGTACTGTGTGATGATGATGGTACTACTACAGTGTGATGGTACTACTACAGTGTGATGGTACTACTACAGTGTGATGATGATGGCACTACTGTGATGATGGTACTACAGTCATGATGATGGTACTACTGTGATGATGGTACTACTACAGTGATGATGATGGTACTACTACAGTGATGGTACTACTACAGTGATGGTACTACTACAGTGATGGTACTACTACAGTGATGATGATGGTACTACTACAGTGATGGTACTACTACAGTGATGGTACTACTACAGTGTGATGGTACTACTACAGTGATGATGATGGTACTACTACAGTGATGGTACTACTACAGTGTGATGGTACTACTACAGTGATGGTACTACTACAGTGATGGTACTACTACAGTGATGATGATGGTACTACTACAGTGATGGTACTACTACAGTGATGATGATGGTACTACTACAGTGTGATGATACTACTACAGTGATGATGATGGTACTACTACAGTGATGGTACTACTACAGTGATGGTACTACTACAGTGATGATGATGGTACTACTACAGTGATGGTACTACTACAGTGTGATAGTACTACTACAGTGTGATGGTACTACTACAGTGTGATAGTACTACTACAGTGTGATGATACTACTACAGTGATGATGATGGTACTACTACAGTGATGGTACTACTACAGTGATGATGATGGTACTACTGTGATGATGGTACTACTACAGTGATGATGATGGTACTACTACAGTGATGGTACTACTACAGTGATGATGATGGTACTACTACAGTGATGATGGTACTACTACAGTGATGGTACTACTACAGTGATGGTACTACTACAGTGATGGTACTACTACAGTGTGATGGTACTACTACAGTGATGGTACTACTACAGTGATGGTACTACTACAGTGATGATGATGGTACTACTACAGTGATGGTACTACTACAGTGATGATGATGGTACTACTACAGTGATGGTACTACTACAGTGATGGTACTACTACAGTGATGGTACTACTACAGTGATGATGATGGTACTACTACAGTGTGATGGTACTACTACAGTGATGGTACTACTACAGTGATGGTACTACTACAGTGATGATGATGGTACTACTACAGTGATGATGATGGTACTACTACAGTGTGATGGTACTACTACAGTGATGGTACTTCTACAGTGATGGTACTACTACAGTGTGATGGTACTACTACAGTGATGGTACTACTACAGTGATGGTACTACTACAGTGATGATGATGGTACTACTACAGTGATGATGATGGTACTACTACAGTGTGATGGTACTACTACAGTGATGGTACTACTACAGTGTGATGGTACTACTACAGTGTGATGGTACTACTACAGTGATGGTACTACTACAGTGATGATGATGGTACTACTACAGTGATGGTACTACTACAGTGTGATGGTACTACTACAGTGATGATGATGGTACTACTACAGTGATGGTACTACTACAGTGATGGTACTACTACAGTGTGATGGTACTACTACAGTGATGGTACTACTACAGTGATGATGATGGTACTACTACAGTGATGGTACTACTACAGTGTGATGGTACTACTACAGTGATGATGATGGTACTACTACAGTGATGGTACTACTGTGATGGTACTACTACAGTGTGATGGTACTACTACAGTGATGGTACTACTACAGTGATGGTACTACTACAGTGATGGTACTACTACAGTGATGGTACTACCCAGAGAGAGGGTTCAGCACCTGGCCTAGGAACAGGAAGGCACCGGTTTCATCATCCACGATGACGAACACGAAGGGGCGGTCCACTAGGGGGGAGGGAGGGGCAGGAGAACACAAAATTAACATTACTACACTATACACTACTACACTACACTACATTATACACTACTACACTATACACTACACTATACACTACTACATTATATACTACTACACTACTACACTACACTATACACTACACTACATTATATACTACTACACTATACACTACTACACTATACACTACACTATACACTACACTATACACTACACTATACACTACACTATACACTACACTATACACTACTACACTATACACTACTACACTATACACTACACTACATTATACACTACACTATACTATACAATACTACACTACACTATACACTACTACACTACACTATACACTACTACACTACACTATACACTACATTATACACTACTAGACTATACACTACACTATACACTATACTATACACTACTACACTACACTATACACTACTACACTATACACTACACTATACACTACTACACTACACTATATACTACTACACTATACACTACACTATACACTACTACACTATACACTACACTAAACACTACTACACTACACTATACACTACTACACTACACTATACACTACTACACTATACACTACACTACATTATACACTACACTATACTATACAATACTACACTACACTATACACTACTACACTACACTATACACTACTACACTATACACTACATTATACACTACTACACTATACACTACACTATACACTACACTATACACTACTACACTACACTATACACTACTACACTATACACTACACTATACACTACTACACTACACTATATACTACTACACTATACACTACACTATACACTACTACACTATACACTACACTAAACACTACTACACTACACTATACACTACAGTATACACTACTACACTACACTATATACTACTACACTATACACTACACTATATACTACTACACTATACACTACACTAAACACTACTACACTACACTATACACTACACTATACACTACTACACTATACACTACTACACTACACTATACACTACTACACTATACACTACTATACACTACCACACTACACTATACACTACACTATACACTACTACACTACACTATACACTACACTATATCTACACTATACACTACTACACTACACTATACACTACACACTACACTATACACTACTACACTATACTATACACTACTACACTACAATATACACTACTACACTATACACTACTACATTATACACTACTACACTATACACTACACTATACACTACACTGTACACTACTACACTACACTATACACTACACTATACACTAATACACTATACACTACACTATACACTACACTATACATTACATTATACACTACTACACTACACTATACACTACACTATACACTACACTATACACTATACACTACACTATACACTACTACACAACACTATACACTACACTATACACTACTACATTACACTATACACTACTACACTATACACTACTACACTACACTATACACTACTATACTATACACTACTACACTACACACTACACTACACTATACACTACTACACTACACTACTACACTATACACTACTACACTAGTACACTATACACTACTACACAACACTATACACTACTATACTATACACTACTACACTATACACTACTACATTACACTATACACTACTACACTACTTACTATACACTACTACACTATACATTACTGCACTACACTATCCACTACTACACTATACACTAATACACTACACACTATACACTACTACACTAAACACTACTACACTATACACTACTACACTACTACACTATACACTACTACACTATATACTATAACACTATACACTACTACACTAAACACTACTACACTATACACTACTACACTACTACACTACACTATACACTACTACACTATATACTATAACACTATACACTACTAAACAACACTATACACTACTACACTACTACACTATACACTACTACACTATACACTACTACACTACACTATACACTACTACACTACTACACTATACACTACTACACTATACACTACTACACTACACTATAAACTACTACACTATACACTACTACAATACACTATACACTACTACACTATACTCTACACTATACACTACTACACTACACATTACACAACACTATACACTACTACACTATTACACTAAACTATACACTACTACACTATACACTACACTATACACTACTACACTATATACTACACTATACACTACACTACTACACTATACACTACTACACTATACACTACTACACTACACACTACTACACTATACACTACTACACTATACACTACTACACTACTACACTATACACTACTACACTACACTATACACTACTACACTACTACACTATACACTACTACACTATACACTACTACACTACACTATACACTACTACACTACTACACTACTCTATACACTACTACACTATACACTACTACACTATACACTATACTCTACACTATACACTACTACACTACACTATACACTACTACACTATACACTACTACACTACACTATACACTACTACACTACACTATACACTACTACACTATACACTACTACACTACACTTTAAACTATACACTACACTATACACTACTACACTATACACTACTACACTACACTATACACTACTACACTATACACTACTACACTATACACTACTACACTATACACTACTACACTACACTATACACTACTACACTATACACAACTACACTACACTATACACTACTACACTATACACTACTACACTATACACTACTACACTATACTATACACTACTACACTATACACCACTACACTATACACTACTACACTACACTATACACTACTACACTAAACACTGCTACACTACACTATACACTACTACACTATACACTACTACACTGCACTATACACTACACTATACACTACTACACTATACACTACTACACTATACACTACTACACTATACACTACTACACTACACTATACACTACTACACTATACACTACTACACTACACTATACACTACTACACTACACTATACACTACTACACTACACTATACACTACTACACTATACACTACTACACTACACTACTACACTATACACTACTACACTATACACTACTACACTATACACTACTACACTACACTATACACTACTACACTACACTATACACTACTACACTACACTATACACTACTACACTACACTATACACTACTACACTACACTATACACTACTACACTATACACTACTACACTATAAACTATACTCTACACTATACACTACTACACTACACTATACAGTACTACACTATACACTACTACACTACACTATACACTACTACACTATACACTACTACACTACACTATACACTACTACACTATACACTACTACACTACACTATACACTACTCCACTACACTATACACTACACTATACACTACTACACTATACACTACTACACTACACTATACACTACTACACTATACACTACTACACTACACTATACACTACTACACTATACACTACTACACTATACACTACTACACTACACTATACACTACACTATACACTACTACACTATACACTACTACACTATACACTACTACACTATACACTACTACACTACACTATACACTACACTATACACTACTACACTATACACTACTACACTACACTATACACTACTACACTACACTATACACTACTACACTACACTATACACTACTACACTACACTATACACTACTACACTATACACTACTACACTACACTATACACTATACACTACTACACTACACTATACACTATACACTACACTATACACTACTACACTCTACACTACTACACTACACTATACACTACTGCACTCTACACTACTACACTACACTATACACTACTACACTATACACTACTACACTATACACTACACTATACACTACTACACTCTACACTACTACACTACACTATACACTACTACACTATACACTACTACACTATACACTACTACACTATACACTACTACACTACACTATACACTACTACACTACTACACTATACACTACTACACTATACACTACACTATACACTACACTATACACTACTACACTATACACTACTACACTACTACACTATACACTACTACACTACTACACTATACACTATACACTACACTATACACTACACTATACACTACTACACTATACACTACTACACTACACTATACACTACTACACTATACACTACTACACTACACTATACACTACTACACTACACTATACACTACTACACTACACTATACACTACACTATACACTACTACACTATACACTACTACACTACACTATACACTACACTATACACTACTACACTATACACTACTACACTACACTATACACTACTACACTACACTATACACTACTACACTATACACTACTACACTACACTATACACTACTACACTATACACTACTACACTACACTATACACTACTACACTATACACTATACACTACACTATACACTACTACACTATACACTACACTATACACTACTACACTACACTATACACTACTACACTACACTATACACTACTACACTACACTATACACTACTACACTACACTATACACTACTACACTCTACACTACTACACTACACTATACACTACTACACTATACACTACACTATACACTACTACACTATACACTACACTATACACTACTACACTCTACACTACTACACTACACTATACACTACTGCACTCTACACTACTACACTACACTATACACTACTACACTATACACTACTACACTATACACTACACTATACACTACTACACTCTACACTACTACACTACACTATACACTACTACACTATACACTACTACACTATACACTACTACACTATACACTACTACACTACACTATACACTACTACACTATACACTACTACACTATACACTACACTATACACTACACTATACACTACTACACTATACACTACTACACTACACTATACACTACTACACTATACACTACTACACTATACACTACTACACTACACTATACACTACTACACTACACTATACACTACTACACTACACTATACACTACTACACTATACACTACTACACTACACTATACACTACTACACTATACACTACTACACTACACTATACACTACTACACTACACTATACACTACTACACTATACACTATACACTACTACACTATACACTACTACACTACACTATACACTACTACACTACACTATACACTACTACACTACACTATACACTACTACACTATACACTACTACACTACACTATACACTACTACACTATACACTACTACACTACACTATACACTACTACACTATACACTACTACACTACACTATACACTACTACACTATACACTACTACACTATACACTACTACACTACACTATACACTACTACACTACACTATACACTACTACACTACACTATACACTACTACACTCCGCTGGACCCACCTCGGATCTGCTCCGCCCCCGACCTGGCCATCGTGAGTGCGGTGGCGGCTGCAGCAATGGCGCCGACCTCGTCCAATCGAATGGCGGCCTTGTGGATCACAGCGGAGACTCTCAGAGAGGCAGTGGAGAGCTCGCTCAGGTCAGGTGACTCAAAGAGCTCCTGCAGACCTGTACACAGCGAGAGACGGTAGTGTATAGTGTAGTGTAGTAGTGTATAGTGTAGTGTAGTAGTGTATAGTGTATAATGTAGTAGTGTATAGTGTAGTGTAGTAGTGTAGTAGTGTGTAGTGTAGTGTATAGTGTAGTGTATAGTGTATAGTGTAGTGTATAGTGTAGTGGATCACAGCGGAGACTCTCAGAGAGGCAGTGGAGAGCCCGCTCAGGTCAGGTGACTCAAAGAGCTCCTGCAGACCTGTACACAGCGAGAGACGGTAGTGTAGTAGTGTAGTGTAGTAGTGTATAGTGTAGTAGTGTATAGTGTAGTGTATAGTGTAGTGTAGTAGTGTATAGTGTAGTGGATCACAGCGGAGACTCTCAGAGAGGCAGTGGAGAGCCCGCTCAGGTCAGGGGACTCAAAGAGCTCCTGCAGACCTGTACACAGCGAGAGACGGTAGTGTATAGTGTAGTGTAGTAGTGTATAGTGTAGTGTATAGGGTAGTGTAGTAGTGTATAGTGTAGTGTAGTAGTGTATAGTGTAGTAGTGTATAGTGTAGTGTAGTAGTGTATAGTGTAGTGTAGTAGTGTATAGTGTAGTGGATCACAGCGGAGACTCTCAGAGAGGCAGTGGAGAGCCCGCTCAGGTCAGGTGACTCAAAGAGCTCCTGCAGACCTGTACACAGCGAGAGACGGTAGTGTATAGTGTAGTGTAGTAGTGTATAGTGTAGTGTAGTAGTGTATAGTGTATAATGTAGTAGTGTATAGTGTAGTGTAGTAGTGTAGTAGTGTGTAGTGTAGTGTATAGTGTAGTGTATAGTGTATAGTGTAGTGTATAGTGTAGTGGATCACAGCGGAGACTCTCAGAGAGGCAGTGGAGAGCCCGCTCAGGTCAGGTGACTCAAAGAGCTCCTGCAGACCTGTACACAGCGAGAGACGGTAGTGTAGTAGTGTAGTGTAGTAGTGTATAGTGTAGTAGTGTATAGTGTAGTGTATAGTGTAGTGTAGTAGTGTATAGTGTAGTGGATCACAGCGGAGACTCTCAGAGAGGCAGTGGAGAGCCCGCTCAGGTCAGGGGACTCAAAGAGCTCCTGCAGACCTGTACACAGCGAGAGACGGTAGTGTATAGTGTAGTGTAGTAGTGTATAGTGTAGTGTATAGGGTAGTGTAGTAGTGTATAGTGTAGTGTAGTAGTGTATAGTGTAGTAGTGTATAGTGTAGTGTAGTAGTGTATAGTGTAGTGTAGTAGTGTATAGTGTAGTGGATCACAGCGGAGACTCTCAGAGAGGCAGTGGAGAGCCCGCTCAGGTCAGGTGACTCAAAGAGCTCCTGCAGACCTGCACACAGCGAGAGACGGTAGTGTATAGTGTAGTGTAGTAGTGTATAGTGTAGTGTATAGGGTAGTGTAGTAGTGTATAGTGTAGTGTAGTAGTGTATAGTGTAGTAGTGTATAGTGTAGTAGTGTATAGTGTAGTAGTGTATAGTGTAGTGTATAGTGTAGTGTATAGTGGAGTGGATCACAGCGGAGACTCTCAGAGAGGCAGTGTAGAGCTCGCTCAGGTCAGGTGACTCAAAGAGCTCCTGCAGACCTGCACACAGCGAGAGAAAGTAGTGTAGTGTAGTAGTGTAGTAGTGTATAGTGTAGTAGTGTATAGTGTAGTGTAGCAGTGTATAGTGTAGTGTAGTAGTGTATAGTGTATAGTGTAGTGTAGTAGTGTATAGTGTAGTAGTGTATAGTGTAGTGTAGTAGTGTATAGTGTAGTGTTGTAGTGTATAGTGTAGTGAAGTAGTGTAGTAGTGTATAGTGTAGTGAAGTAGTGTAGTAGTGTATAGTGTAGTAGTGTATACTGTAGTGTAGTAGTGTATAGTGTAGTGTAGTAGTGTATAGTGTAGTGGATCACAGCGGAGACTCTCAGAGAGGCAGTGGAGAGTCCGCTCAGGTCAGGTGACTCAAACAGCTCCTGCAGACCTGCACACAGCGAGAGACGGTAGTGTATAGTGTAGTGTAGTAGTGTAGTGTATAGTGTAGTGTAGTAGTGTATAGTGTAGTGTAATAGTGTAGTGTATAGTGTAGTGTATAGTGTAGTGTAGTAGTGTATAGTGTAGTAGTGTATAGTGTAGTGTAGTAGTGTATAGTGTAGTAGTGTATAGTGTAGTAGTGTATAGTGTAGTGTAGTAGTGTATAATGTAGTGGATCACAGCGGAGACTCTCAGAGAGGCAGTGGAGAGCTCGCTCAGGTCAGGTGACTCAAAGAGCTCCTGCAGACCTGTACACAGCGAGAGACGGTAGTGTATAGTGTAGTGTAGTAGTGTATAGGGTAGTGTAGTAGTGTATAGTGTAGTGTAGTAGTGTATAGTGTAGTAGTGTATAGTGTAGTAGTGTAGTGTAGTAGTGTATAGTGTAGTAGTGTATAGTGTAGTAGTGTATAGTGTAGTAGTGTATAGTGTAGTGTAGTAGTGTATAGTGTAGTGTAGTAGTGTATAGTGTAGTGGATCACAGCGGAGACTCTCAGAGAGGCAGTGGAGAGCTCGCTCAGGTCAGGTGACTCAAAGAGCTCCTGCAGACCTGTACACAGCGAGAGAAAGTAGTGTATAGTGTAGTGTAGTAGTGTATAGTGTATAGTGTAGTGTATAGGGTAGTAGTGTATAGTGTAGTGTAGTAGTGTATAGTGTAGTAGTGTATAGTGTAGTAGTGTATAGTGTAGTGTAGTAGTGTATAGTGGAGTGGATCACAGCGGAGACTCTCAGAGAGGCAGTGGAGAGCTCGCTCAGGTCAGGTGACTCAAAGAGCTCCTGCAGACCTGTACACAGCGAGAGACGGTAGTGTATAGTGTAGTGTAAGGTGTAGTAGTGTATAGTGTAGTGTAGTAGTGTATAGTGTAGTGTAGTAGTGTATAGTGTAGTAGTGTATAGTGTAGTGTAGTAGTGTATAGTGTAGTGTAGTAGTGTATAGTGTAGTAGTGTATAGTGTAGTGTATAGTGTAGTAGTGTATAGTGTAGTGTAGTAGTGTATAGTGTAGTGGATCACAGCGGAGACTCTCAGAGAGGCAGTGGAGAGCTCGCTCAGGTCAGGTGACTCAAAGAGCTCCTGCAGACCTGTACACAGCGAGAGACGGTAGTGTATAGTGTAGTGTAGTAGTGTGTAGTGTAGTAGTGTATAGTGTAGTGTATAGTGTAGTAGTGTAGTGTAGTAGTGTATAGTGTAGTGTAGTAGTGTGTAGTGTAGTGTATAGGGTAGTGTAGTAGTGTATAGTGTTGTGTAGTAGTGTATAGTGTAGTAGTGTAATTTGTAGTAGTGTAGTGTAGTAGTGTATAGTGTAGTAGTGTATAGTGTAGTAGTGTATAGTGTAGTAGTGTATAGTGTAGTGTAGTAGTGTATAGTGTAGTGTAGTAGTGTATAGTGTAGTGGATCACAGCGGAGACTCTCAGAGAGGCAGTGGAGAGCTCGCTCAGGTCAGGTGACTCAAAGAGCTCCTGCAGACCTGCACACAGCGAGAGACGGTAGTGTATAGTGTAGTGTAAGGTGTAGTAGTGTATAGTGTAGTGTAGTAGTGTATAGTGTAGTGTAGTAGTGTATAGTGTAGTGTAGTAGTGTATAGTGTAGTGTAGTAGTGTATAGTGTAGTAGTGTATAGTGTAGTAGTGTATAGTGTAGTGTATAGTGTAGTAGTGTAGTGTATAGTGTAGTGTAGTAGTGTATAGTGTAGTAGTGTATAGTGTAGTGTATAGTGTAGTGTAGTAGTGTATAGTGTAGTGTATAGTGTAGTAGTGTATAGTATAGTGTAGTAGTGTATAGTGTAGTGGATCACAGCGGAGACTCTCAGAGAGGCAGTGGAGAGTTCGCTCAGGTCAGGTGACTCAAAGAGCTCCTGCAGACCTGTACACAGCGAGAGAAAGTAGTGTATAGTGTAGTGTAGTAGTGTAGTAGTGTATAGTGTAGTAGTGTATAGTGTAGTGTATAGTATAGTGTAGTAGTGTATAGTGTAGTGGATCACAGCGGAGACTCTCAGAGAGGCAGTGGAGAGCTCGCTCAGGTCAGGGGACTCAAAGAGCTCCTGCAGACCTGTACACAGCGAGAGAAAGTAGTGTATAGTGTAGTGTATTAGTGTGTAGTGTAGTAGTGTATAGTGTAGTGTATAGTGTAGTAGTGTATAGTGTAGTGTAGTAGTGTATAGTGTTGTGGATCACAGCGGAGACTCTCAGAGAGGCAGTGGAGAGCCCGCTCAGGTCAGGTGACTCAAAGAGCTCCTGCAGACCTGTACACAGCGAGAGACGGTAGTGTATAGTGTAGTGTAAGGTGTAGTAGTGTATAGTGTAGTGTAGTAGTGTATAGTGTAGTAGTGTATAGTGTAGTGTAGTAGTGTATAGTGTAGTGTAGTAGTGTATAGTGTAGTGTAGTAGTGTATAGTGTAGTGTATAGGGTAGTGTAGTAGTGTATAGTGTAGTGGATCACAGCGGAGACTCTCAGAGAGGCAGTGGAGAGCTCGCTCAGGTCAGGTGACTCAAAGAGCTCCTGCAGACCTGCACACAGGGAGAGAAAGTAGTGTAGTAGTGTATAGTGTAGTAGTGTATAGTGTAGTGTATAGTGTAGTAGTGTATAGTGTAGTAGTGTATAGTGTTGTAGTGTATAGTGTAGTGTAGTAGTGTATAGTGTTGTGGATCACAGCGGAGACTCTCAGAGAGGCAGTGGAGAGCTCGCTCAGGTCAGGTGACTCAAAGAGCTCCTGCAGACCTGTACACAGCGAGAGAAAGTAGTGTATAGTGTAGTGTAGTAGTGTGTAGTGTAGTAGTGTATAGTGTAGTGTATAGTGTAGTAGTGTAGTGTAGTAGTGTATAGTGTAGTGTAGTAGTGTATAGTGGAGTGGATCACAGCGGAGACTCTCAGAGAGGCAGTGGAGAGTTCGCTCAGGTCAGGTGACTCAAAGAGCTCCTGCAGACCTGTACACAGCGAGAGAAAGTAGTGTATAGTGTAGTAGTGTGTAGTGTAGTAGTGTATAGTGTAGTGTATAGTGTAGT